ACAAAACCTCCTTTACCACCTCTCTTCAACCTTTTCTAGGATGTCCGCCACCCTGCATTCCTTCCCCTACAGTTTTCTACACTCTCCATGTCATTCTACTTTGATTCATTCTCTCTATTTATTTATGTATTGTATTAATCATATAAATACTATATGTATGTTAAACAATAGTTATTCTTTAAAAAATGTATTTTTTGGGAATATTTGTGTGTCTGGAACAGATTAATTTTATTTACATTATTTCTCATGGGACATATTGCTTCGACTTTAGGCCGTTTCGAGTTTAGGCCAAGCTCCTGGAGTGGATTACGGTCGAAATTCGGGGTTCCACTGTATTTACAACATGTGTTAAACTAAAATTTGAATATACAGTGCTGGTATGAGGTGAGGTCCTTGTGTAAAAAATTTTTGAGCATACTTGATAAAGTCCTAAGATGAGCTGCAAAATATCTCTCAAAGCAAAAAAAAATTGAGTTATGAAGAAAATAAAAAAACACAACATGTGCTCTTATTGGCCAATAGGAGGAAAACACTTCATGAAAACATACAGGATTATGTTATGCTCTTGGGAGATTCGGAAGAGAAGTTGCAGAGGTTGGTGAATGAATTTGGTAGGGTATGCAAAAGAAGAAAATTAAAAGTGAATACAGGAAAGAGTAAGGTTATGAGGATAACAAAAAGATTAGGTGATGAAAGATTGGATATCAGATTGGAGGGAGAGAGTATGGAGGAGGTGAATGTATTCAGATATTTGGGAGTGGACGTGTCAGCGGATGGGTCTATGAAAGATGAGGTGAATCATAGAATTGATGAGGGGAAATGGGTGAGCGGTGCACTTAGGAGTCTGTGGAGACAAAGAACTTTGTCCTTGGAGGCAAAGAGGGGAATGTATGAGAGTATAGTTTTACCAACGCTCTTATATGGGTGTGAAGCATGGGTGATGAATGTTGCAGCGAGGAGAAGGCTGGAGGCAGTGGAGATGTCATGTCTGAGGGCAATGTGTGGTGTGAATATAATGCAGAGAATTCATAGTTTGGAAGTTAGGAGGAGGTGCGGGATTACCAAAACTGTTGTCCAGAGGGCTGAGGAAGGGTTGTTGAAGTGGTTCAGACATGTAGAGAGAATGGAGCGAAACAGAGTGACTTCAAGAGTGTATCAGTCTGTAGTGGAAGGAAGGCGGGGTAGGGGTCGGCCTAGGAAAGGTTGGAGGGAGGGGGTAAAGGAGGTTTTGTGTGCGAGGGGCTTGGACTTCCAGCAGGCATGCGTGAGCGTGTTTGATAGGAGTGAATGGAGACAAGTGGTTTTTAATACTTGACGTGCTGTTGGAGTGTGAGCAAAGTAACATTTATGAAGGGATTCAGGGAAACCGGCAGGCCGGACTTGAGTCCTGGAGATGGGAAGTACAGTGCCTGCACTCTGAAGGAGGGGTGTTAATGTTGCAGTTTAAAAGCTGTAGTGTAAAACACCCTTCTGGCAAGACAGTGATGGAGTGAATGATGGTGAAAGTTTTTCTTTTTCGGGCCACCCTGCCTTGGTGGGAATCAGCCAGTGTGTTAATAAAAAAAAAATTAAAAGAATAGTTTAATAAAGATTTGGTAAACCTTTTACAGTCTCTCAGTTACATATGTTATTGATGCGGCAGTGGTTTCAAGTTGGAAAAATTCAGATTCAGGAAGGATATAGGAAAGCACTGGTTTGGTAATAGAGTTGTGGATGAGTGGAACAAACTCCTGAGTACAGTTATTGAGGCTAAAACATTGTGTAGTTTTAAAAATAGGTTAGATAAATACACGAGTGGGTGTGGGTGGGTGTGAGTTGAACCCGACTAACTTGTGCTGCTGGGTCTGGTGCCGTGCTCCTTCCTTGAGTGGAGGTGACTAGACTGGGTGGGTCATTGGGCTGTTCCGAGGAGGGGGGTCATTGGGCTAATCCAGGGGGGGACATGGACCTGCTTCTCATGGGTCAGTAGGCCTGTTGCAGTGTTCCTTCTTTTTAATGTTCTTATGACTGACTGACTTGACTGACTGATTTACTGACTTGACTGAATAACTTACTACTAACTGATTTACTGACTTGACTGAATAACTTACTAACTGATTTACTGACTTGACTGAATAACTTATTAACTGATTTACTGACTTGACTGAATAACTTATTGACTTGACTTATTGAATGACTTAAAATTAGACTTTTTCACTTTTTCACAATCATCGACAAATGCCAACACCCACAGTTTAAGGTCTGAAATACTATTATTTCTGTTGCATTTGTAGTCTTAAGCAGTAAAAACAACATAATAAATACATCACGACAATGAATTACAATTACATATTCCTTTTATTTTTGTAAGATTTGGAGGTCAAAAAAAAAGTTGTTTGGCTTTTTTTTTGGGGGGGGGGTGTCCCAGGAACGTAACCCTATTTTTCCCATAAGTTATTCAGTTTGTCTTACACGGCATTTTCAGGAACGTAACTTCCGTGTTAAACAATGGTCTACTGTATGTGTTTATATGTCCAGTGGAACCTCGGTTTTCGTATGCCCTGGTTTTCGTAGTATTCGGTTTTCGGCGACTTTTTTCATTGAAATTTTGTCCCAGTTTTTGTACATCCGCTCGGTTTTCATATAGTTGACAATGGTCCACCATACCAAACGCATCCGCCTGCCCGCACCCACAGAAAACATCCCAGTCATTCCGACTCAGTCTGGCTTTATTTCTGATGAATGATCATTACCTCCGTGCGTTCATCTGAAGCATTTCATAATAATCCATTGTTTTTGTGCTTGTTTATTGAGTGCAGCTGCTAAATAAGCCACCATGGGGCCAAAGAAAGTTCCGAAAGTACGAAAGTAGCATACACGTGGCTGATTTCGCCAGTAAAAGACAAAGAAAGGAAGTAACCCCAGATAGGGCCTTGATACCTGAAGTCCTTATGGACAGGGATTCCCCTTCCAGAAAATAGCCTCTCCTCCCTCTCCTCTCCTTGCCGTCTTCCATACGCCAACAAGAGTCTTCGATAAAGGTAAAAGTGATGTTAAATGTTCATTTATCCTTTCATTAGTCATTTATATTTATTCCTCATTGTTTTCTGTATGTAAAACTATAGTTATTCTCTATAAAATGTATTTTTTATTAATATTTTTGGGAGTTTGCAACGGATTAATTAGATTTACATTATTTCTTGTGGGAAATATTGCTTCAGTTTTCATACACTTCAGTTTTTGTCACACTTCTGGAACGAATTAATCACAAAAACCGAGGTTCCACTGTATATGTATGTGCATATATATTTATGTATTTATTTATTATTATACTGTATTTGTGTATTTCCTAGGTAGTAGGTTGGTAGACAACATCCACCCAGGGGGATACTACCGTCCTGCCAAGTGAGTGTAAAAAGGAAACCTGTAATTGTTTTACATGATGGTAGGATTGCTGGTGTCTTTTTTCTGTCTCATAAACATGCAAGATTTCAGGTACGTCTTGTTACTTCTACTTACACTTAGGTCACACTACACATACATGTAGAAGGATATACACACCCCTCTGGGTTTTCTTCTATTTTCTTTCTAATTCTTGTTCTTGTTTATTTCCTCTAATCTCCATGGGGAAGTGGAACAGAATTCTTCCTCTGTAAGCCATGCGTGTTGTAAGAGGCGACTAAAATGCCAGGAGCAAGGGGCTAGTAACCCCTTCTCCTATATAAATTACTAAATTTTAAAAGAGAAACTTTCGTTTTTCTTTTTGGGCCACCCCGCCTCGGTGGGATACGGCCGGTTTGTTGAAAAAAAAAATTATTATTTATTATTATATATATGTATTTATTTATTATTATATTTATGTATTTATTTATTATTATATTTATGTATTTATTTATATGCTGTATTACTGTTTATCTGCAGATTTAGGGTAGAGTATTTTCCTTGGACAAACCCCAAATAATAAATTGGTGTGCCTGTACTAAAATTATCTTACTCAGTGCCTAGGTGGATCACATATTTCAGTTTTCCTAGTTAATATCCATTTCGAATGCAGTGTAGAATATATGATCAACTTTGTCAGAGTAAGAAAGTTGCCATGGCTTATGTGTAAACCACGGTATGGGCGGGGATTGAACCCGCGGTGAGTGAGTCATAAAACTCCAGACCAACGTGTTAACCACTGAGCCAGCTGGCTACAATAAGATTCATCCAGCTAGGTATATTTATATACCATAGGAAGGTTAGCATAGGCACCACTGTGACTAATGCGTCGGTCTGGAGTTTTATGACTCACTTACTGTGGGTTCAGTCCCCACCTGTACCATGGCTTGCATTCGTGTCATTACGATTTCTTGAGCCATGGTTTATGTGTTGTTTTTGTGACAGGCCTGAAGGCCACAGCCAAACAACTTGTTATGTCTGACCCCCGAGTCTCTCTGCATGGCTAGCACCACTCTGCCTTCCACCACTTCAGTGAAAAATGGCTATCAGATAATACAGAATATTCATTCTGACCATTGTAATACCTCCATGAGCTCTCAAGATTCAAATAATCCTGCAATCAATATCACCAATAGAGAAGATCACTTAAATAATACAACGCACACACACAAGTTAAATAATTTGAGGTCCTGTTCATGGCTGTTTGCAAAAATTTCCAATTTTTGGTGAAGGATCTATTGTAAACTCAGTTGCTATTTCTTCTAGGAGTAGCTTGAAGCCTAAGTTTGCAAATATTGAAGTGACTGTAATTGCAGTTGCTAATGATGTTTGCTAGTAAACCATGAAATATATAAAAATAATACAGATACAGAGAACAATATTGCAAATAATAAATTTGATATTGGAAAAGAATTACTTACAAATAATCTTGGACTCGTATATATAGCATGAGAAAATAGACATATGCAAAACTAGATTAAATTCACAGTTCATTACTTATAATAGTAGAGTATTAGTTGATTTCCCTTCATCTCCTGATTACACCACATCCTTGCATTTTCCCTCTTTGATTCCCACAGGTCATAGACCAAATGGATTAGTCATGAATGATGAGATTCGGGAGGAGCTGTCTGTTGCTGCCTCAGTTACTTCACAAGCTTATGCAAATATTAGAGCTGGCAATACAGGTAAGTGGATAACTAGTGTGTGTGTATGTATGTATTTGTGGGTAGAGGTGTTTTGTGTGTGTTGTGTATGTGTTGCCTGTGTGTGTGTGTGTGTGTGTGTGTGTGTTGTGTGTGTGTGTGTGTACTCACCTAATTGTGGTTGCAGGGGTCAAACACAGCTCCTGGCCCTGCCTCTTCACTGATTCAATTCAATTCAAGTTTATTCTCTATAAGGGTTCAATGTGGGGTTTACAGGTTTTGGGTATTGTGTGGTTTACATGTTATAAAATACTAATTACAGAGGGGGCCACTAGGACACCTAGCATGGCTAGGCATTTTGGGCAGACTTAGATCAATTCTTAACATTAAATCCTTACAGATTATGGTATTAAGGCTAAGTGACTACATCATAATTTGTGAGTTTAGCAATGTGAATGCTTTTGTTTTGGCACAATACAAAGCGTCTATATTGGAGTATCATAGGCAAACTTATGACTAATTAGGATTTATTATTTTAAGATTAAGATCAGTATTTCTGGGTTTATAGTCAGTGGGTGAGTGAGTGTAATTGTGAACCACCAGGTGGTTATCATGTAGTTAGTTGTCGGGGTGTATCAGGGAGATAAGATCTCGCTACTAGGTCTTCTCTCTCTCTGCTTCCAGAGCTTTGTCATACCTCATCTTAAAGCTGTGTATGGTTCCTGCCTCCACTACATCACTTCCCAGACTATTCCACTTCCTGACAACTTTGTGACTGAAGAAATACTTCCAAACATCCCTGTGATTCATCTGAGTCTTCAACTTCCAATTGTGACCCCTTGTTGCTGTGTCCCATCTCTGGAACATCCTGTCTTTGTCCACCTTGTCGATTCCTCTCAGTATTTTATATGTCGTTATCATATCCTCCCCATCTCTTTTGTCCTCCAGTGTTGTCAGGTCTATTTACCTTAAGCTCTTTTTGTTGAACATGCCTCTTAGCTCCGGGACTAGTCTTGTTGCAAACCTTTGGACTTTCTCTAGTTTCCTTACATGTTTGGCTAAGTGTGTGTTCTAAACTGGTGCTGCGTACTCCAATATAAGCCTAACGTACATGGTGTACAGGGTTCTGAATGATTCCTCATTAAGATGTCAGAATGCTGTTCTTAGGTCAGAATGCTGTTCTTAGGTTTGCTAGGCGCCTGTATGCTGCAGCAGTTATTTGGTTCATGTGCGCCTCAGGAGATGTGCTCGGTGTTATACTCACCCCAAGATCCTTTTCCTTGAGTAAGATTTGTATTATCTGGCCCCCTAGACTGTACTCTGTCTGCAATCTTCTTTGCCCTTCCCCAATCTTCATGACTTTGCACTTTGTGGGGTTGAACTCCAGGAGTCAGTTTCTGGACCAGATCTGCAGCCTGTCCCGATCCCTTTGTAGTTCTGCCTGGTCTTCGTCCGATGGAATTCTTCTCGTCAACTTCACATCATCTGCAAACAGAGACACCTCTGAATCTATTCCTTCAATCATGTTGTTCACAAATACCAGGAACAGCACCGGTCCTAGGACTGACCCCCTGTGGAACCCTGCTCGTCACAGGCGCCCACTCTGACACCTCGCCACGTACCATGACTCGCTGTTGTCTTCCTGACGGGTATTCCCTGCCTTCCCTGTTATCCCTGCCTGGTCCTCCACATTGTACACTAATCTCTTGTGTGGGACCGTGTCAAATGCCTTCTTACAGTCCAAGAAAGTGCAGTCTTCCCACCCCTCTCTCTTGTCTTACTGCTGTCATCCTGTCATAGAACTCAAGTAGGTTTGTGGCACAGGATTTCCCATCCCCAAAGCCGTGCTGGCTGTTATTGATAAGCTCATTCCTTTCTAGTTGCTCCACCACTCTTCTCCTGATAATCTTCTCCATGACTTTGCATACTATACATGTCAGTGACGCTGCTCTGTAGTTTAATGCTTCGTGTCTGTCTCCTTTTTTAAAAACTGGGACCACATTTGCTGTCTTCTACACCTCAGGTAATTTCCCTGTTTTGATAGATGTGTTGAAGATTGTTGTTAGTGGTACTCACAGCGCCTCTGCTTCCTCTCTCAGGACCCATGGAGAGATGTTATCTGGCCCCATCGCCTTTGAGGTATCTAGCTCACTTAGCAGCCTCTTCACTTCTTCCTCGGTTGTATTTATTGTGTCCAGCACTTGATGATGTACCCCACCTCTCCGTCTTTCTGGAGTCCCTTCTGTCTCCTCTGTGAACACTTCTTTGAGTCTCATGTTGAGCTCCTCACATACTTCATGGTCCTTTCTTGTGATCTCGCCTCCTTCCTTCCTCAGCCTGATTACCTGGTCTTTGACTGTTGTTGTTCTCCTGATGTGGCTGTACAACAGCTTTGGGTCAGATTTGGCTTTTGCTGCTATGTCATTTTCGTATTATTGTTGGGCCTCCGTTCTTACCCATGCATATTCATTTCTGGCTCTACGACTGCTCTCCTTATTCTCCTGGGTCCTTTGCTTTCTGTACTTCTTCCATTTTCTAACACTCTTCGTTTTGGACTCTTTACACCTTTTGGTGAACCAAGGGCTAATGCTGGTTTTGTTGTTATTTCTGTTACCCTTGGGCACAAATCTCTCCTCAGCTTCCTTGCATATTGTTGTCACGTATTCCATCATCTCATTTACTGCCTTCCCTGCCAGTTCTCTGTCCCACTGAACCCCATGCAGGAAATTCCTCATGCCTGTGTAGTCCCCTCTTTTATAGTTTGGCTTCATTCGTCCTGCCCTCCCTGCTTCCCTCTCCACTTGTAACTCTACTATATATTCGAAACTCAAAACCACATGATCACTGGTCCCAAGGGGTCTTTCATATGTGATGTCCTCAATATCTGCAAGACTCAAGGTGAATACTAGGTCCAATCTTGCAGGCTTATCCTCTCCTCTCTCTCTCTCTGGTAGTGTCCCTGTAGTGTTGGTACATGAGGTTTTCCAGTACCACCTCCACCATCTTAGCCCTCCATGTTTCTGGGCCCCCACATGGCTCCAGGTTCTCCCAGTCAATTTTCTTGTGATTGAAGTCACCCATAATCAGCAGCTTTGCCCTGGTCGCATGAGCCCTCCTGGTCACTTCAGCCAGTGTGTCAACCATCGCTCTATTGCTCTCATCATACTCTCGCCTTGGCCTCCTGCTGTTCTGTGGAGGGTTATGCATTGCTGTAATTACCACCATGGGACCTCCAGACTGAAGTGTTCCTATTATGTAGTCTCTTGCTTCTCTTCTGTCTGTGTGTACTCGCCTAGTTGTGGTTGCAGGAGCTGAGTCACAGCTCCTGGCCCCACCTCTTCACTGGTTGCTGCTAGGTCACTCTTCTTGCTCCTTGAGCTTTATTATACCTCTTCTTAAAGCTATGTATGGGTCCTGCCTCCACTACATCACTTCCCAGACTGTTTCACTTCCTGACAACTTTGTGACTGAAGAAATACTTCCTAACACCCCTGTGATTCATTTGAATCTCCAACTTCCATTTGTGACCCGTTGTTGCTGTGTCCCATCTCTGGACCATCCTGTCTCTGTCCACCGTGTCAATTCCTCTCAGTATTTTATATGTCGTTATCATATCCCCCCTATCTCTCCTGTTCTCCAGTATCGTCAGGTCTATTTACCTTAACTTCTCCTCATAGGAGATGCCCCTTAGCTCTGGGACTAGTCTTGTTGTAAATCTTTGCACTTTCTCTAATTTCTTTACATGCTTGACTAGGTGTGGGTTCCAAACTGATGCTGTATATTTCAATATAGGCCTGACATACATGGTGTACAGGGTCCTGAACGATTCCTTATTGAGATATCGGAATGCTATTCTTAAGTTTGCTAGGTGGCCATATGCTGCAGCAGTTATTTGGTTGATGTGCGCCTCAGATGTGCCTCGTGTTATACTTACCCCAAGATCCTTTTCCTTGAGTGAGGTTTGTAGTTTCTGGCGCCCTAGACTGTACTCCGTCTGCAGTCTTCTTTACCCTTCTCCAATCTTCATGACATTGCACTTGGTGGGGCTGAACTCCAAAGGCCAGTTTCCAGACCAGGCCTACAGCCTGTCCAGATCCCTTTGTAGTTCTGCCTGGTCCTCCTCCAATTGAATTCTCATCAACTTCACATCATCTGCAAAGAGGGACACTTCTGAGACTATTCCTTCGTCATGTCGTTCACATACACCAGAAACAGCACCGTTCTAGGACTGACACCTGTGGAACTCCGCTTGTCACGGGCGCCCACTCAGACACCTCATCGCGTACCATGACTCGCTGATGTCTTCCCGACAGGTATGCCTTGATTCATTGCAGTGCCTTCCCTGTTATACCTGCCTGGTCTTCCAGCTTATGCACTAATCTCTTGTGTGAAACTGTCAGAAGCCTTATTACAGTCCAAGAAAATGCAGTCTACCCACTCCTCTCTCTTGTCTTACTGCTGTCACCCTGTCGTATGTGTGTGTGTGTGTGTGTGTGTGAGTGTAAGAGTATGTGAGTGTATGTAAGAGAGAAAGGGAAAGAGTGAGAGGTAAAGGTAGAGAGAGAACATAATATTTATCTTAATTCATATGCTGTATACAATATGTATTGTTTTAAATTGACATCTGTCTCCTGCCAAGGCAGGGTTATCCAAAGAAGAAAACACACTTTCCATCATTCATTGAACTACCATCCTTCCAAAAGTGTGCTGGCATCACAGTCAGATTATTCTCCAACTGTAGTATCCCCACTCCTCCAGAGTGTAGGCACTGCCTTCTCCTTCTCCAGGACTCAGGTCCAACTAACCAATTTCCATGAATCCCTTTCATAAGAGTCGCCTTGCTCACAGTCTAAGGGTACATCCATTAGAAACCCTTTGTCCCCATTCACTTTTGTCTAACATACTCATGCAAGCCTGCTGGATGCTGAAATCTCTAAAACTCAAAGCCTCTTTTACTGCCCCCATCTGTTTTTGGGGCCACACACATTCCTCCTACCTTCTGCCCCTACATATCTGAACTTGAGCTCCACTCTGCTCATAAA